AGAACAGCTAAATGGATCTCGATGAAATTTGACATATAGAAATAGTCTTCACGATCATGTTAAGTACATTTTTTGAAGAATATAAAAGAAACTGTGGTATACTATATAACATTGAAAAGATTAAAATGTTATTTAGTAATATTATTATATTTTAATGATACCGAAGGATATAAATAAAAGTGTTTTCTATAAAATATCTGTAAGGAAAATCTCTTGAATAAAGTATACGCTTGTTCCAACTAAGACAGTATGATTTATTTCAGAGAACTCTAAGTAACATTGTGAGCATCCAAAGCTGCTACAAATTCTACTTGCTTTGGGATCCTTAATGCTTGTTGTTTTATATTGAAACATAAAAACTCTTTAGTAGGAATAAAACCATGAAATAAAAAAAAACCTAGAAACAAAATAGCCGGGATAGAATTTTATCAATCTTACTAATATTATAAATGCGAAAGTAGATTGTATGTATGGATGGATATTCTAAAAGGTATCTCCAGAACGACTTAACGGATCTTGATGAAATTTGTACATACATAGACTACTTATTAAGTTTCTTTTTTATTTCCGTGCGGAAGAAGTCGTGGTCTACAGCTAGTTTAAAAAATAAAATGTAGGGAAAAGACTTCCTTTATAAGAAAAATTGCAAAACTAAAAATACTACTTTTAGGTTTTTTTGTTACGACATATTTTACGCTAATTGGATTAAAAGATTTGAAGATTTAGAAAACACAAAGTTTAACTAAACTCCACGTGACTTCCAAATTTTGTTGAATGTATAAGTAAGTTTGTTTATCCTAGCGGAAGGCGTACCTGGGACTGTAGGTAACTGTAAGCAACTGTAGGCGACTGTAGGCGTTTTCTTGACAAACTTGTGCTTCGTAATTACTTTAGCCGTAATGTATTCAGACAGGCGGGCGAGTTTAGAGTTTACTTGTATCGAATTTTGTGATAGTTTTGTCTACGGTGCATTTATATTCAAGATAAGATCTTAACAAAGACATGAATTGCATTACAATTGTTATTAAATCACACTTTATGTTAGTTTAATACGAAATAAATACAAATTTTGGTAAATCCCCCGCTTTTATTAAAGTCTATGGCAAATGAATACAGATTACTCTGATCTATGTAATCGATTAATTCTAGTATATATGTTGCCTCATATATAGTATACATATACCGTAAATATAATTGTAAGTAGCATAAACTAATAAATAAAAATTACCGAATTCACCTTGGGTTTCCGAGACAAAAATCTCCGTTTAAAACATATCATCTTTGTTTTGTCAAAGATAATGATAGAGATGACGATGTTTTATACAGAGATTTTGGTACCAATAACTCACGGTTTGTTGCTCGTTAACTCAGTATTCGCCAGATTAGAACGTACCCGTAAGTTCTATTTCATGATGAATTGTTAAAACAGAAATATAGTTAAACAAATGATTGATAATTTGCATGCATATATTGTATACAAAATGTACAGGATTGCTTTATACGATCAGAAACTCTCGGTCGTTGTAAATGGTAATTAATCCGAGCAAGGATAAATTACAGTGACCGACGCATCCGACGAACATTAATGTATCTTCACATTGTATCGTATAAATTATGCTCACTGAATGATACCATTATGGTATACATAAAGTTTATTCCACCACAGAATACCAGTGTGAATTGTATTCAGCAGTTCATAATTGATCCAGTCTTTATCTTAGAGATCCCTTAGGTCATTTTCCACCTGACCTGTCTGATAATCAGTACCAAACGTGTTTTAGGATTTGCGTGCTAAACGAAGTCACGGAAATACTCGAATCTTAGAAATTGTTTTACCTCATAATTTTCTATAAGTTTAACATCTTTAATGTATCGTTTCATACAAAAATATTAACTGGAAATTATACACTATAGTTTGAAGGTCAAATATTGAAATATTAGTTTTGAAAATAATGAAAATATCTTATGTGCTACTCGAGACTATGTTCTATATTTGTACTAAATTTCAATAAGATATGTTGAATCGATGTGGAGGTATCGAGTAAATAAGTAAATAAACGTATATTACGAGGACCATAGACATTTCCGAGATCATAGGAAGCCTACATGTTACTCCTGACTTAGTTCTACATCTACAGCGTGTTCCAAAATTCAACGATAAGTCGGACCTGGTTTATAGCGTATACAAGGTGTATAGGTCGATAACTACTAGGTATTTTCCCCTGGTAGTTATAGTCCTGACTATACACCATAACCGGTTTATATGAATTTTGGGACACGCTGTATACTAAATTTCATCGAGATCCATGCAGTCGCATTTATATTTCAGGAAGATTCAAGAGCATTTTCATTTTAAACAAGTTTATTTGGTGCAAAACACATTTGAACGAACTTGATCCAATTTCGAACAAGCAATATCTTCGTAGCTGTTTTTCAAGTTGCAATATTGGATTGCAGCATCGAATGGTGTAGTCGTAACTTCTGATATAATTTGATTACTCTTCTTTTCCCGGCGATAGCAAATCCGTTGCCTGTATTAATGTGATATTACGTTTTAAAACTTACGTTATATTATTGTTAATTTAATGAATAACTAAATTTTAATTTAATAAACTGGTTAACTGAAACTCGGATTTTGTGTTTACTATAAATTAATAATGTATTATTATAATAGGTCATAATAATATCATCCTATATATTTATTGTTAAATACTTAACAAATGCTTAAATATACCCATTACAATGAAATAATTAATTTTGTAATCGACTAAACTAATTAAATGGGTATTTTAGTTCTCTAACCTTACCGCTTTATCTTTAAAAGCTATCAAAAACTAAAATGACTATTTTTGAATATTCTAGGCCTAGTATTTATCAATTGTAAATATTTAATTAATTGCGAATTTGCTCCATTTCCCAATAAATCGTTAATCTACACGCGTTTATTCAATCCACGTTTTTGCACATTAAAGGTGAACTTTTCTCGCAATCAGCGGCTATTGGTATATCTCCAACTATGTTTTTGCTTAAAATTTTGTTCCTAATACGTAATAATAGATATATTTGGCTCACGAGGTTACCGCCATGTGGCGTATGAAATCGACTACCATTATTCCGATAGTCGTATCGGTAAATGGACTGATAGCGAGAAGCTTCGACCAACATCTCAAGAAGCTCTCGCTAAACAGTTGGATTAAGGGCTCGATACAAAAGGCAGTTATCCTAGAAACCGCGCGCATCGTGAGAAGGTTCCTGTCTCTGCAGCCCTGACCACTGGTTGTTTGAGTCATGGGATTCCACAGCCGGTGGTGTTCTCATATTAATATATGTTTTGTATATATTTTTTTTATATGAAATGTATTATATTAGAAATGTATATAAATAAATGTATAGGATATAATAAACATGTTATAATAGTTTTTTTACATATTATAGCGTCTTACATAGACACAGACCAATGTTTACCATAATGCAGCATTGTTAGAATCCTCTAGCTCATCAGATTTTCAACGTTCAAGGTTTTATAATGTAAAGAGCCTTCCGAAACAAATAACTATTGATTTTATACATTAATTCATTCATTAACTTATTTCAAATGAATTGGAAATAACCTTAAAATTATGCTTAACATCAGAGAGAACATATTATGTTGATGAATTTATAAGATATAGCCCAGTCTTGCTTTTTTATGTCATAAGGTGGCAAACGAGCGAGCCACCTGGAATCGCTGAATAGCGAAGCGACCGTTGCCCATAGACACACGCAATTACATATGCGTTGCCTACCAGAACCGTTGGCGGCTGTGTCTTGAAAGAGAATTTCCAAAGAGGTCTTAACAAATAAAACAAATCGTTACAAATCAAACATAATGCTTTATTTTACAAAGACTATTGTATCGCCATCTAGATATTATTTCTAACTATAATATTATACACTAGAGACATTGCATTATATACAGATATTCAACATTCAAATATTACGTAAAGATATAAGGCACATTTAATTTTTTTATTACCTATCTGAATACAAATTACAACTATTTTAAATTTTCTTCAACGTCGATTTATTTTGAAAATAGAACGCAATCGGGCATGCATAAGAACTTTATTGAATTGTTATTAAAAATTCATTGTTTTTTTTTTAGAGAATTAAGGTTGACAGTATTTGTCAATTTGCGATAGTGGCAACTCAGGGTTAAATGCTATAAACAATTGGTTTGTCAAAAATTGCTATCTCCGATTGCGTTTTATTTTTAACTCTAATATTACAATACGAATAGGATTTCGTAAAATCTTAACAGAAATGTTACTCAATATATTTACAATCAGAAATAAATCAATAGCAACATTAGAAAATTGTTGTTTTTACCGTCGTTTGAAAATAAATATCTTTTTAAATGTTATTTTAGATTGAAATAATTACATACGAAAATTTATTCTAGTCAATATATACAGATAATACAAAAAAATATGAAAATCTTTGAAAAAAAATGCATTTCCAAACCTTTAAATTAACAATTTTTTTTGAACATCGATGACGATTTTTTTTTGTTTTACAATATTTCACTGAAATAAAAGCAGTAAGGAAATACTAGATGGGAAGACTAAATGGCAGTATAGGGTAGTTTATAAAAAAAAGAGATACTGGCACTTCTGAAATTTGTCAAATAGACGTCTAAAAGAAAAAAAATAATACTAGCTAAAATAATAGGGATTACACGTATAATTTTTGCTTTTCCAAGTGAATACATTTTTTTTTAACTTTATAAAAGAATTCAGTCAACAAAAAATACAAATAAATTCGTTACGCCGAGAGCTATACAAAAATATTCATTAAATTATTCAAACTTTCGTGAGACATTATACTAAACTGATAAAAAAAAAACGGCTAAACACGTATATTCGTCCGGTGGCGGCACCGACTGGCCCCCGATGGGCTCGAAACTAGTGATACGTGAGTGTTGAGCCGTTTTTTGTATATTAGTTTAAAAATAATCGTTTTGAAATTTTCACAAGTTTAAAACAAAAAAATGAATTAAAATTACGCTGAAATTTAATAACAAATCGTCACATTCATGTCACCCTAACATTAATACATAAATATTCAGCTATCCTCCACTAAGACGTAAGTTACGACTACTTTTTATTACATGATAAAAATCACAATAACATTTACATTACAAAGAAGCCAAGTCATCAGAAAATCACTAATTTTCTGGTAAAAGTTATTAACTATCTATTTCAATACATTTTAATTATGCGATATTTTCATATGTTTAAAGATATGTACACAGTAAAGAGAAGACTAACTACTAGGTAAATTTAATACTCGAAGAAGAATACTATATTAAGCGCCATCTTTTTTTGAATAGCACACTTTCTGAAATCAATACAATTGTAGATTTATCGAGTGACATTTGTACAAACACATATTGTTATCTCTGTTTTTTCTAAGAGAATGTAAGGGACAAAAATATGTATCAATGCAAGTGTCGTAAATAAAACAGAATAAATTAATAAATAATCAGAGAACTACTTGCATAGAAACATATTGAAATAAATACTATGAAGTTAACACAATCATTAATAGGTTAACGACTCAGTTAACATAGCTAATTTTTCAATTTACAATACAGTGACACCAATTTAAAAAGCACCAAATAAAAAACAAGAAAATGTAATTTTTATGGTACGCGTCCATTGGCCCGCTGACGCACCGCACGCACAGTCCGCAACGGTTTAATACGACAAATCCGATTAATCAATGCGTGAGGTGCGTCCGCGGGCCAATGGACGCGTACCTTAAACAGAAATAATACAGAAATAAAATAAAAATTCGAAACCAATTTCAAAATCTAAATCGCGTTCCAAAATACAGGTAATTTAACAAACTTTTAAAAAATGGTAGCTATCCTCCAAATCAAATGAAGTCTTACGTAAAGCACAATGCATTCAACAACAAGTGAATTCTGAGCACAAAAGTCTAAACAATTTCTCAGTTCTTTATATGAAAAGCACGTCATAAGATGACATCTAGTCAGCCGTAAGTTCTGGACTTAGTCGGTCTGCGTTGAAATTCTCCATTACCCACATCTGTCTTGGTTCAGCGTCACTACACGGCTCCATGACAATCTTGTCCTTGTTGCGTGATATCGTCATGCATTTCTCACTTGAACCGTGCTTTAATAACTTCGTCTGTAATATATAGTAATTAATTAATATTATACATTAGTAACTGCCGTTGTCAAATCGTTTACTTATGAATAAAGGCGTCCCTTAGTTTAGATTATATGAAAAACGTAAAATGTTAAAAATGTAAACTAGGAAACTTGTAGTCTAACGGCATGTTTTTTTATTGGACAAAGTTAAATGATTTATGCATAGTATATAAAATTAATACTTTTGTTTTACTAAGCGCAGCGCAGACAAAAAACTGTATTATTCCAGCCAGTTACATTAAAAATAAATATTTGAATAACTGATTTTATTTTTATTTTTTTCTTTCTGCATAACTACGAATTAACTTACGCTAGGATCATACAGCCAAAGTTGGTTGCCCTTGGCGCCGTGGCAAGGGTACAATACAACATCGTGACCCGAGTAGTCGAGGCAAGTCTCATCACGACGGATCTCACCGTTTTTAGAATACATCCAATACTGAAATTTTATGATAAAAAATTAATTAAAAATCAATTAATTTAAATACCTCTATTTAACCACTGGGGGAAGGGAGAGGTATTTAAATAATTTAAGGTTATCGCTTATTATACCCAGCGGTAAAGACGAATTATGTCTGAAGGTAATTTTACTAGGTAACTTAATCAATCGTCTGACGTTTACCCGTATACACGTTGACGCTGCGCGGATCCCACCGAAAAGTCTTTTCTGATAGGTGCAATAAGCGATAACCTTTAAACTCATGCCTATATCCGTGAGCTTCAGGCTTGGATTTATTTATATCTCCACCACCTTTTAATGTGATTTTAAAACTTTTAATGAATATTTTATGCATCGATCGATTACAATTGTAATTAAATAAAACTTTGATTTGTCTTATTTTTTAAAATAAAGTTAACATCAATCCTGTTGCCCAGTCAAGCTGTTTTCCTATTATAGGGATGGAAAAAAGGGAATCTTAAGAAACTTTAAAAGAAGAATTAACCAAAACATATTGATTTTACAAGTATAATCGACATATTCACATAATTAAATACATAATAAAACTATATATAGTGTTTAGTAAATAGAAACTTTTATACCCAAAACCCAATTTAAATAAAATTTAGAAAAAATCAATCTACTAAATAAATACTTATCTCTACTTAATAAATACTCATTCTGTAAAATATTCACAAAATATTATTATTAGTAAATACATAAGTATTATGTAAACTAAAAGTTAACTACACTTAGCTAAATATTTAAACCTGACGGCAGTACCAATGTTGAAGAAGTGATAGGTCGTTCGTGTAATGACACGTGAAATTTATACGTGTATTTGTCTATAATTTGGAAAAAAATTAATAAGGTAATCCTGCAAAATGACTGTAAAGTGTTAGTATGTATAAGAGACCATTCATTATTTACTTAAGAATGATATTTGACGAACATAACCGAGACAATGGAATGTAGAGGTTTTTTGACTCTCTCTCCATTGAAAGCCTCACGTACTTAATGAATGATCCCTATGACAGTTAAAATGCATACACAAAAATAAGCTGCACTGCTTAAGTGTGATAAAAAGCCGCTTAGTGGACAGTATTAGTATTCTATCAATGAGAATTAGGACACTCAACTAAATTACCCAGATAAACCAACCAACAACCAACTACAATGCAGCAAAAGCACTAAATAATTGCTAAACATGATGGCCGCCTCGGACAAACCTGATTGCCGTACTCCCCGTGGCAAGGCCAGATGTTGACTGGTTTCTTCATTTCCTCAGGCCCAGCACCAGAGTCGATGCACATTTCCGTAGAAGGATTCGCGATCTAATGCCATCGATAAGTTTAAAAAGGCGTGCCAAAGCAAGCGTGCTTGTAACCTCATCACTTTGTGTCGAGTGATGAAGTTACAGTGCAAATGAATGATAAACTAAATAGACTATCTGCTTATTCTTTATATTCGAATAAGTTAAGTATAGCATGACATGGTATCCCGATTAATATCAAACTAAAACATCAACACAACTAAAACAAGTCCCGGCCATTGTATTGTGATACCTGATTACCACCGTTGTGATGGCATTTGTGGATCATTAGCGGTCCGGTCGCGCCCTCAGTCTCCTCTAAAGTTTCACCGTCGAGACACAAATCACTAACGAACGCTCGGTTGCGTATCTAGCATGCAGCGTTACAAAAAATATCAAGAAAATAAATCATTCCGTGCTGTAAGTGTAATACGCCAACGTGTCCAGAAATGTGCTTAGGATGGGAGAGTGCAATAGCGAAAAAACACAATGAGACGAAACGATGTCCCGCTAACACTTCTAAAACGATGGTACTGCCGCAGTTTTGCGAATTTTGAACGACTAAAGACCTGATTTCCTCCCTGCCGGTGACACGGGTATAGTCCGACGGGTTTATGGTGGTCGGACTTGCGCGTTGGAGAATCCAAACAAGTCTTTTGGAAGGCGACATTTCTGATCTGCGTAAGCAACAATTCGGAAGTACACGTATTATTTTTTTGGCACTCAATATGAAGTCAATATGCGTCATAATGTCGTAAAACATTACAGTTGTTCTTCTGACGAATTTAAAATCGAATCCAATTTTAAATATTAGTCAAATTAAATAATTTTTGTTCTGACATTTGCTAATAAAAAAAGTTAAATAAATAACTACTGGTGTACATACCTCGCCGTGAGCGACGGATTCTCCAGGAATGAATAGTTCTGGGTAAATGTTCTTTAAGTACCATTCAAAGGATTTGCAACCAAGATTGTCTCTTAGTTGCTTCCTGCTTGTAATATCTCCATAATCTCCTTTATCATTACCAACTCTTTGATAATAATATTTAGCGTAGTCGTCAAGCCACACCTGAAATATTTCAATAGTCACAGTTAGTACAAAATATTTTATTTAAAACATACTCTTGGCGCAACTAACAGTACCTCTGCTAAACGAACTGAATTCTTCTTTAGTACATTGACACCAGTTCGCCATTTGTACGGTGATCGTTTCCTAAATATATGACCGACGTGAGAACACGGAACGATTTCTAACGTTCCACCGCACATCCAAGTTTTGAATGACAGTTCCAAATTCTCCCCACCCCAGATATCGAAGCCGCTGTCGTAAGTTCCTAGTCTTTCGAAGAATTCTTTATCGATAGCAAAAAGTCCTCCAGCCATGGTAGGTGAATACACTGGCTCTGCAGTATGTTGGTGGCGTGCTCTTTCCCTTGCTGGCACGGGATGCCAATTGAACTGGAGATTCCAGTCGAAACCGCCAACATTGACTGAAGACGAGTCCCTGTAGTGATACTCTAATGTGTTATCATCAATAACATCGATAACGGGACAGACTACTGTTGTTTTGTTTCGTGCGATTCTATCTAATAATGGCTCCAACCATCCTGAAAAAAAAATGTATTTTTTGATTTGGTGATTTAAAATTTAGGTATTGCAGAAGCTGAATATCAGTACACTAGATTCTTATACAAAGTCCTTCGCGAATAAAACCTTAGCCTTTTCCTTGTTTACCTTCTGTACACTCGCAGTGGCTGTCTAGATAAGTAAGGACGGGAGCGGTGACGTATCGAGCACCGAGCAGCCTCGCTCTGATGAGTCCCTCGCGTCGCGTCGCTCGAACTATCCTAACTTTGGGCAGTGAAGACATGTAGTCGTCTAACTGTTGCATCAAGTGTGCTGTAAGAGAACAAATAAGAACTGTACACGTGATTGCAATACTTTGGTACAGTTAGAGTAATGTTAATCACTGCTTTGATTTAATTTGCATTCAACATAGTGCAACTTACGCATATCAGAGAAATCATCGACGAGCACAATTTCCTTTATTAAATGTGCAGGTGACCTATCTATCACTGAATGTACTGTGCGAAGAAGCACCGACCACGCCTCATTGTGGAAACATATAACTACCGAAGTTTGGGGCAGATCATCTAAATAGCGGCCGGGTTTTTTACACCTGTAAATTAAATAGGAGTTTTATTATCATACCAATGCTAATAAAAATAATTAATAGTTTAATAAGTTATTAAAATTCTAACCATTCATCTCTAGGATCTGGTAATTTCCTCCTTATTGATATGAGATCGCTAACATATTGATTGAAGGCGTTCTTCTTCCATCCTTCTGATACGGCTAATTTGGCTTCTTCGCTCATATTCTTAGGCAATACAACTGGCTGGCCAAGCTCACCTGGCGCGTTATCTGATCCCGGAGCTGCGATTACTCCTAATCCTATAGGATGTGATCGATTAATACTCAAAAAGAACAGAGTATCTTGAAACATCGTGTTAACGTTAACGTCTAATAATAGCTTAGTAAAAGTTCTAAATAGTTCACTTCAACTTGACGCGCGAATAGAAAATTCAAAAACATAAGCAGACACGTAAATAAGTGACACGTGCAAGCTGAGTTGACCTATCTAATAGTAAATCAACATATGGTTATCAACCTTTTAATTCTTAATCAAAATATTTAGAACTAGATCCTATATTTTTTAATTAATGTCACGTATATACACTACATGCTACTGTGAATACTAAAGTAAAGTAAATTATTGTACATAGGCTATAATATTTTATTGAGTCGAAATTATAATATGTGAAGAGAAAATTATTACATTTTGTGTTGGTGATACAATTTTGCACTTAAATGATGTTATATTTTCCATCTACAAACAAATATCCAAAAATGGGTTTTCAGTTATTTATTTCAACAAGTGATTTTTCAAACCTATTATTACTGTTACTAATACATCATAAACCACTAAATATGCAAAGCTGAATATTGACAAAAACAAAAAGTTATACGACGATAAAAGTTACATATAGAGGTAGGATATGTAACTCTTTTCGTCACAGGAGTTAAAAATGATTTAAATGAAGCAGTTATTACCTTCAGGGACGCCAGCGATGCGACCAAGCCAATCGATCCGCGTCCGCACTGTTATAAATAAATGCTTAATATCATGCAAATTGTTAAAACGATATAAACAGCTGTGCCGTAACAAGCGAACATGCAATATATCTTAAGTCACAAGAAATAACGCATATCATTAGAAACAGAGAAACATTGTTCTGAAGAACGAAAAAAGAGATCTTCATTTAGTATTCATTCAAGTATACGTAACGTTTACCCTCATTATCATTTCTATTGCTTTGCTATTCGAAAGACAATCGTCTTCTAAAGGAATGTAGATAAAGCTGGGTAAGGGGAGCTTGTGATTTATTAAGCATAAAAGAATCGCGTGACGATACAAAACTGGATAACAAAGGGCAAATTATTTTTCTTACGACAAATGATGGATGTACGAATAGCTGATAAAAAAGAAAAGATTCTATTTAAAAAGAGCAAAAAGAAGAAATGACCGAAAATTGCTAATTTTCGAAAATACTTATACTCGAGGAATTTGAGCTTCCGTAAATTAATACTGATATTACAAACTCCTAATTTATTAATTACAATTATTAAGGACATTATTCCAATAAATAATATCGACTTTTTGTCTTTAGTTGCTTGAATTTTGTTATTTATTCAAACATTTAATTTTTCTAAGTAGAAAGGAAGAAAATAGATAAGAGGAAACACGACTTAAAAATATCAAAAATCAATCTATTTAAAAAAATAATATCTGCCTCAAAACAATGTTTCTCTGTATATTGACTAAAGTGCATTCCATTTTTAAAGTATGTACCTAAAAATAAATCAGAAATAACTCCTACACCAGAAAGCCATGCTCTTATTTACTAAACTCTTACCATCTGATAAATTATTTCCATAGGATTCACTTTTCTTCTTTCCAGATGTTGGCTTAGCCATCTTTAGTGGTTTCGCTTCGGCGTCTTCGTATTCTATCGGAGGTGCGACAATTGAATTCCTAGATCCGCCATTTGTCGTTAGCAAAGCGACCATGAACCACAGCGCTGTCAGTATCAACACCGCTTTCAATATTAACGTCCGCCTTCGCAGGAAAAACATACTATAGTACTTCATCTTCATATGTATTTGATATGTATCCAACTAATTTTGTATTACTAAAGTTATACGTTGATATGCATCTAATTTTCTCTAATTACTTCTATTACTACAGGAATTATTTTAATAGATTTTTGAGCAATAATTTTTTAAACTACAATCACAAAAGGTGACTAGTATTTATACAGATATGTTTTAGATTTTCTTTCACAACTTTGCTGAGATATGCTTTCTCGATATGACAGTATAGTCCCTTCCGCTGTCCACTTCACATTACACGGACTCGGGAGCGGGTAGGCTATAAATTCGCCAGATCGCGCCAAAAGTTGACAGTTTTCTTTCTAGTTCTTTGATTCATCTCTGATATTTCCAGGCACGCGTGAATGGAACATCCATGTTTTTGAAAAAGAAACCTGTAAGAGAAAGAGAAAAAATAAGTGAAGGAATTTTATTATAAAAAAAACATTACACAAATTTAAACCATTAATATAGGCTAGCTTTGATAGAAGAAAAAGTAAACTGATATATAAACACGGCTAAACACTCACGTATATACGTCCGGTGGCGGCACCGACTAGTTTCGACTAGTTTCGAGCCCATCGGGGGCCCTTCATCAGGATGAGTGGCACTGGTATTATTTCGCGGACGCGGCCCGTCGCTCACTTTTTTTAGCCGTGTTTATATATCAGTTTAATATAATGTCTCACGAAAGTTTGAATAATTTAGAAGAAAAAGTATTTAAATATTAGTAACGTTGGGATTATTTTTAACCTTAGTGGCAATTTTATTATTATTTTTTTGTCTTTATTTCAGTCGTCCAAAACTTGGCTGCCTCGACCGCTCTAAAAACATTGAGTAGCGAAATCTTTCAGGTACTAATGGCAGAACTTGTTCGCAAGGAGCCTTTGTAAGGGGTGAGAGGGCTTCCGGCGCGCGACTGATGGATTGCTCCGCTTCCAACATTATCGGAGTCGGCTGTCGCTGCCATTTCTCAAGAACCTCGCGATTTGTACGCAAAAGGCATTTGTTAACGAAACTAAAAGAGTACTACGAAATAGCGCCACTTAACATTCTGGGCTGTTATTTTATAACACAGATTTTTTAATGATTCTTTTTGTATTACCGTAATTCAAATTAAAAATGTTATTAATTTTGTTAATAACTATTCTTTTAATAAATTTAAAAATCCAAATGTTTAGATCGATGGATGTATGTATGTTTTAAAGTATCTAACATAGTCTGGAAGAACACAGGCTACTAACTACTACTACTAATTATGTTTTTTTTATATTCTGCGTAAACAGAGTCAACAGCTAATAATCATATAAAAGATGAAGAAGACTGTAAGGATAGCCGAAATTCTAATTTCTCGTGTGTTTGTGCTTGAAAATATATCATTTCGGTCTATATCTCCTATTATCATTATTAGTCAAAAGGGCCGACATTTTTTATCTAACAAACATTACGTAACCTACTTTCGTTGAAAAATTAAATTAGCATAGTGGTCAGCAAGCTGCCACTTTTTTATTCCATTAAAGTCATTAGAGCTGTGGCTTTACTTAAATAAATCATGGTACAAAACCAACAAATAATTGTTTTTTTCCTATCAAAGAGTTATGTAATTAATTCGGTATTTAAAAAATAATTTGACAGCAATTCAATCATAACAAAGGTGATGGACAATTTGTCCATATCTACTCGGAAGTTTTATTGCGAAGTAAATTAATACATAATAGGTTATTTTGGCAGCGTAAAAATAGCATATTCATCGACACACACTAATAAACAAAAAGCTAACAACACTATAGTACTACGGAAATAACGTAGAGACGCGAAGCTTGTTCGCTACCGTAAATAGAGCACTAATTTTCCTGAAATAAACTGCAAAAAATTGAGTGCACAATAACCGTCGGGGAAATAATTAAGGGAATATAAAAATCCTTAGCACCGTAAAAAGGAAGTAGGCGATAATGGAAAATAGAAAATAAAAACACGTAATTGCGGAGGCGGCCACGGTGCAATGTATAGAGTTAATACCTCGCAAATGTCATTAGTGGAACACTCGAGAGGGGGCGCTGCGGGCGGGGGTCGATGACTCCCGGTTAGAACACGTTATATGTCCTGGACTGTGTGTAATCCGACTACTTCTAGCTAACCCTTTGAAATTACCAACATTAGTAAGAACTAAGAGTCGCCCGCAGCTCCGTCCGTGCGGATTAAAAAAAATAAAAGTAGTCAATGTGTTCGTCTAGACCAGTGGTTCCCAAACTTATTTTGTCTACTGCCCACTTTGAGAATAAATATTTTTGTAACGCCCCCATATTTTCACATATTTAAAAACCACTGTAACTTCAAATTAAATTAATTAATTATTGTGACCTATATATGTATATTAACGGAGAATTCTAAACGAAACTTTTACTATAACCCGCAACTTGAGACCTACAGCGCCCACAAGGGGGCGTTTTCGCCTACTTTGGGAAAGACTGGTCTAGACTATGCTATGCGACATACATGCCAAATTTCATCGAGATCCCTTGAGCCGTACTGGAGATGCCTTCTAACAAACATCCATCCATTCATCTTGCGACTTTTCATTGATCATGCTACGGTATATTTTCATAGGTGAGTAATATTCAAATCCGTTCAATAAGATTATTTTACATAATTAGGACTAGTAGATTTTAGAGTACGATAAATTAGTTTGGGTCGTTTTTTAGTCTATTCCTTATTAAATAAGTTTTAGATATCAGAACAGTAAAATAGAATACTAAAAACAAGATCACAATTATGTTGGAGTTTCTAAACCTTTCAAAATTCATAGTCGGAAACGAACTTTACACGTAACAAAGGAAATTAACCAAATGTTACAAATAAAAATGCTAATGGAAACAAAAAATAAAATTATTTGACATTTAAACAACCGCTTTCTTTCTGCGGGAGAATGTGACAGATCACTTCCGCGCTACATAGGAAAGAAACTTAAAATTTGGATAAATTTTTACATTATTTATGATATAAAGTTATATATTTCTTTAGCCATCGCCTGCGAGTTCAAAGGCCTCGTAAGCTATAAGTAGAGAAGTCAAACATGTTTTCTTTGACCTTTCAATCCAGTTCTATAGTCAAGTCCATAACACGGGATAGAAATGGTCTTGCAATCATCAATTTATGGAAATTAAAAAAAAGAATAAATTCTTTATGGTCAATATTTTATTGACCGGTTTTTAAACTATGTCCTAGGAAATTTCACTTGAAATGAGAGCATTTATAAAAATATATTGTTTTTATATCGTTCGGAAATTGATTTCATCAGCGATCGTGGCCAATAATTGCTTTTCCATGCAAATAGAGGATTAATATAAAGAAAAATATTTGTTTTATGAAAACAGTACTGACGCCAAGAATTATGATAAAATTACGTCACGTTATAACTTCGTGATAACCATCTTTGATAAATACACGAATACTATTTTTACTTTAATTACAAATGCCCGTACACCTTTCATTTAAAGCGAATAGTTACTTACCCCCCAGTTCTTTGTTTTACAAATTAAAAAAAGAACACAAACAGCACACTATCGTATGCGCAAAATGCCAAGAACAAAAGGAACGATCTTGCGGTTTGATGTCCGATCATAGAAATGGGAATAAATATCAAATAGGGCGTAAATTAACAACGCAACGAGAATTAGGAAATCATTTAATTTGTAATATTATATTATATTTGTATTTGTAATTAATCTCTTAAAACACTATGTATATTTAATTTGATATTAATAAAACTAGCTAAGTCACGCGATTTTACCTGGAGCATTAAAAAACTGCAGTAATTTCTCATGCCTCATCAACTTAAATATAAAATTAAAAACATAGAAAATCCAACTTTCAAGGAGATTATGTGATTACTTAAGTTAATCTCATTGAAGTCTACAAGAGTAGGACAATATTGTGGTAGAACGCAAGATTCTAAGAAAACGACTTATATTATTAAAAGGTTCTACAGTTTGTATGTTTAGCTTTATACGAGTTTGTACAATATTTATTTGTTTAATCTTTAAACAACGCTACATCATAAAGGATAACTTAATATTGACGAAAATACTACAGCGTGGCTTTAAACCTTAAATCTAATGACATCTTAAAATTCATATTTTAATTATAAATTAAATTACAACACTTGTAATTAATACAGCCCCAAAAGTCTAATGATTAAGGGTACGGATTGAAGATCAATTGTTCGAGGATTCGAATCCCGGCAATTGACTTGTCGTACACCATAATATAGAACAATCCCTAGAGCGTTGTTGAAATGGTAAAAGAAATATTAGAAAAATAAACTAAATTCTGTTGATATTTTTCATAAAAAAATTTCATTCGGTGTCGGCACCGACTAGTTGATTTAAAGACGCCCGTGATATATCACGAGTACAACTCACCGTGAAGAAGAGGTACCGACGGCCTCAAACTAGTCGGTGCTGACATCGGATTAAGTGAGTGTAGCCGTTTTTATTTAGTTATAATAATGGCTCACGATTAAACAATTTAAATATTTTTTTGGTATGGATTTTTTCTTCCATTTACTACGCAATAGAAATGTTATGACAAAAGTTGTATAACATACAAAACATATCATATAGCTACAAATAGATCGTAATTTTCGCTTAATCACTGTTATTTCTAAACGAAACAGTCACAACAGGTTTCTCACTAATCAATACGCAAAAACTAAACTCAGTACACACATGTTTAGAGGACATTTGCAAGGGCACAATCTCATTCTCGAAGCTAATATATTATCAATTAATTTACTAGCTTAGCAACCAGCTGCTTGTGACATGACTTAAATTGCTTTCTTTCCAGCTCTTTTCATTTACGCCCCGTCATACTGCACGGAAATGCATAGAACAAAAAGCTCGCTCTAGCGGAGAGTACAGCTTAATTCGTTTTTTACGAGCGTTATGTTTTGTTTCGCAAATGAGTTTCGTACGTGCCTCAGTCGCTGATGTTGATTTGATTGAAATGTTCCTGACATTACATCTAGATATCGTATGTTATCTTAGCTTTGAATTAAAATATCAAATATTTACTTATCTACGAGTATAATGGAATATTATAGTATTAAAACCTATAAATTTTCAAGACAAAACAAATCTCTAGAATAATATTTAGTAGACACACATTCAGATGTTATGTTTCGATTGCATACATTATTATCATCTTATTTCAAGGTTCAACAGAGTTACTAATACGTACAAAAAATACATAAATACCAAAACGGCAAGTAATCGGTTATACGATGCACAAGTCCCTTTTACTATAAAGGCCGTTTTAATTAAATTTTATGCAACAAAAAAGCATCACCACACGAGCGGGTATACGTGCAATAAAGGCCTGGGGACGGCGAGGCGCG